TCAGGGTTTATTTGTCACACCCACAGGGCTCTGTCTTTCCTTGGCATGAGTATGTGTCTGGCTCTAATGTTCATCTCCTCCTGGTACTATGCTATCGTGGCCATGGGCATTGCTGGGATGATCTACAAGTACATTGAGTACCAGGGGTATGTTGGAAGTCTAATCAGCATTTGAAATGCTCTGTCTGTTCCTGATCTGGAGGAATATTGGTGAAGAAAATAATCACATGGTTCATTTATTCCCTTATCTTTGTTTCTTGTCTCTTTCACTCAAACAAAACAGAGCAGAGAAGGAGTGGGGGGACGGTATCAGAGGACTGTCCCTTAGCGCAGCACGCTATGCTTTGCTAAGACTAGAGGTCGGACCACCGCACACCAAGAACTGGAGGTGCAGCTACACCTACAGGAGATGATCTCAATGTTTCCTTCCAAATACTCAACATGATACTATGTTTAGTTTTGAGAAGAATGTATATACTTTATAAAATGTTGTGGGTTGAAAGTGTTTACTACTTTATCAGTGGCATTTGAGCACATTATATGGCTCCCAGATGGGAAAATGTAATAGAAGAAGAATAGAAGGTTCTCTGCCTTCTATAAAACAGAACTCCAGAATGACAGTAAGGCCATACAACATGTTCTTTGAGCTGTTATCAATATCGGCACACACTGAGTATTATCTGGCAAGTAGGTATGCAAAACTCTTCTGTGCCCTCAGGAAGTTTTCTTCCCTCATTTGTTAAGTGGTAGTATGTTTGCTGGGCAGGTCCATTTAATTAGCACATCTACTGTACTTTACTGTACTATAGACCCACTCTGATGCTACACTTCTTCTTTGCCACTCACTCCCAGTGCAATGGCACTGTGGCATTAGTTAGTCTGGACTGTAGATCAAAGATGAAATGAAGGCAATACAGCTCAGTGTGTGATGACTCAGTGCATCATACTGTCTAGACATCTAGGTTAAAATTGGGATACAATTGGTAGAGAAGTGAAAGTTACTGAAGATGTTTAGTGTTTTAGTTTTAGCCCAATTCGCAGTAAGACAACTGGATGTATTTTGACCTGCCTGCAAATCAGAGAATAAATGGAACTTGAGAAGGTCCAATTAGCAATATCTACCTTTCTTTGCTTAATAACAATATCCAAGATGACCTCTGGTACAGTATTGCTTATACCTGGGCCTTCTGCCCAAATATAAGCTTCTCTCAGCAGCCAGTGAAAAAGAAAAACTAACTTTTTTCAGTATTGTGGTAAAAGTGGATGCACATCTATAAAGTGAAGCATTATCTTACTACATATGTTCATGAACCACAGACCTCAGCTGTTGGTGCTGTTAAAGCTGGATGAGGACCTTCATGTAAAATATCCCCGACTGCTCACCTTTGCCTCGCAACTGAAGGCAGGAAAGGGTCTGACCATTGTTGGCTCTGTCGTCCAGGGCAACTTCCTGGAGAGCTATGGAGAAATGCAGGCAGCAGAACAGGTAAACGCTGGAAACCGATATAAGCTGTATCTTTTGTTGTACTGTGTTGCTGACTATGTTTCAACTAGTTGTTAGAGGTGGACACCTTTTTGTAATTTAAAAAGCACAATGAAGTGTGCACATGCTTCACTACATTACAGTTCTTCTTTAGAAATGTTTTTTCCAGCACTTTAATCAAAGGTTGTTCATAGCAGCACAACAAGGTGCCAGTGAGCCATTACACAAAATAAGAGACTGGTGCAGAAGCATTTATCTTAATGTGATGTTTCTGATTAATAATTGACTGACAAGTAAAAGATGAAGCAGAATTTGTTCTGTTTAAGTGAACAGCTTTAACTGAAGCAAAAAATCAATCATCCACAATTCACTTTGACATAAGCCAATATTCATGCATTATTTATCAAGATTTATCATTAGAGCTTGTGCTGTCCAGGGAGGTAGGTACTGAAGGTAAAACCTGTATTGATTTAACATGGTTTATTTGCTTATGATCATCAACTATAGTTCAGTCTGCCCACCTTTTTTTCTGCCAGGCTATTAAGAATATGATGGAGATTGAGCGGGTCAAGGGTTTCTGCCAGGTTGTTGTGGCATCTAAGGTGCGGGAGGGCATTGTCCACCTGATCCAGTCCTGTGGTCTAGGCGGCATGAAGCACAACACTGTGGTGATGGGCTGGCCGTATGGCTGGAGACAAAGTGAGGACCCTCGAGCCTGGAAGACTTTTATCAGTAAGTCTCACTGAAATACTGTCAACATAACATGCCACTAAAAAAGGTCCATTCACTATTTTCAGTATGTTGCCTCTATAAAATGACTACCCCCTCAAAATACTTTGATTGTGTACTGTTTTCAGGATAAATGCTCATATTAAATGTTCAAACATTGTTATATTCTGATCCTGTAATTACAGCAATCATGAAACTGAAAAAAACCTGTGAACAAATGTGATGTTTAAACGATGAAATACATTATGCGTTAGATTTCAGCTGAGTGTAGCTCTGAATGCATTTAAAGAGATAATACAGTACAGTCAATGATGAAAGGTGACTGTCTCACCCTCTGTGTGTTCATCTCTACCTAGGCACAGTCCGCTGTACCACAGCTGCCCACCTGGCTCTGATGGTGCCCAAAAATGTGTCCTTTTTCCCAAGCAACCATGAGCGCTTCACAGACGGCAACATTGATGTGTGGTGGATCGTCCATGATGGGGGGATGTTAATGCTGCTGCCTTTCCTGCTCAAACAGCATAAAGTAAGAATAAGAAGGTTTACTGTATATCCTTCCTGTATTACTGGACTTTTATTCCAATAAGCTACATGCTAAGCTAATGATGGTAAATGTGAGTTTTACCTTTAGAAAAGTGGGAATGCAAAGTGTTGATCAGAATGGTCAGATAACAATTCATAACTATAATTTGTATATCATATGAAAGTACTCTTAATTTATAAAGAAAGCAGACTTTGAAATGTACAGTAATCATTTTATGCCTTTATAGTTTAGGCTCTTTTTGAAGAATGTCACTTTTTACATTTTCAAATTAAAGTATGTTTTCTACAAGTAATTACTGTATATTCACATACATTCAGCATTGCACACTGCATTGTGTGTGTGTGTGTGTCAATACCATATGGCTTTATTTGTGTATTAGGTTTGGAAGAAATGCCAGATGCGCATCTTCACTGTAGCCCAGATGGATGACAACAGTATCCAGATGAAGAAAGATCTGGCCATGTTCCTGTACCAGCTGAGAATAGAGGCTGAGGTGGAGGTGGTGGAGATGGTGAGGGTTCATCTTACATAACTACTAATTTGTGTAAAAGTAAAGACATCCTTGTATAACTCAAACAAACTCACTATGAACTTGACCTAAACCAGATGTCCATTACAGTATACTGGAACAAACAAGTTTGTTGTTTAAAACAAGATTCCACAAACATGATTGTTCCAAAGAGAATTAGGGGCAAATCATTTCCTTTCACTGTCGTACAGTTCATGTTAACAGACAGTTGTTTTATTTGCATTAACCTCTGAAACTCTTTCTCAAATTGTATTTCAGCATGACAGTGACATCTCAGCTTACACCTATGAGCGGACATTAATGATGGAGCAGAGGTCTCAGATGTTGAGGCAAATGAGGTTGTCTAGTGCAGAAAGACAAAGAGAGGTATGTTTATTTATTTTTGTGTGTGTGATGTTTTGTTTAATTCTGTTCTACAGATTAAACAACTCTTGTTTGAAATCTTAACTCTTGCTTGCCTGTAGCATTGTAATTTAGGCATTGAATCTGCTCAGCATTATAATAGCAGTACTAGTTATGTACCAGTGTATTGACACCCAACCCCACAGGCCCAGCTGATTAAGGACAGACACTCTTTGGTGCGTATGGGAAGTCTATACTCAGATGAGGAGGAAGAGGCTGTTGAAGCTCCTCCAGAAAAGGTTCAAATGACATGGACTAGAGAGAAGCTTGAAGCCGAGAGGAGCAACAAGAACAATGCGCCTGAGAACTTCAGAGAACTCATGAGCCTTAAACCGTGAGTTGAGTGATAAACCTTTGACCTTGTGTTCATTTTCCTTTCTCTATTTTTGTTTGACACAATGAGAGCTTGTTTTGCAATCATCCACAAATCCATTTTATTCCCTCCCCCCACCCTCCCCCACCCCTCATTGCACTCCAGGGATCAGTCCAATGTGCGACGAATGCATACAGCTGTGAAGCTGAATGAGGTAATTGTCAACAGGTCCCATGATGCTCGATTAGTGCTGCTTAACATGCCAGGGCCACCACGAGACACAGATGGAGATGAGAATTGTATCTTTTGCCAATCTGATAAAACAAAGCATTATTGCTTAGACTTTCGGACTACAGTGTGCAGCCCATTGTTTACTTGGTTTTAGTTCCTTAAGCTTTACATC